TTGGGCGAGCTGCAGATCTTCTCCGGCGTGACGTAGAGCAGTTTGATGGCCGGCTCACGCATCGATAGCTTGTGGTATATCTCGTCACATGCTGCTAGGGACACGTCCCCTGATAGGTGGGCGGCGGGGATCTGAGGAATATCACGTATTACCTTTTATTTCTTCGAAAGAGTAAGCATTCGTTAAAAGTCATATACATCGGAAACTTTTTGAGACTAATATTATGATAAATTATAAAAAATAGAAGTTTTGGAAAATAAGAAAAGATACTTTTTGTCAAGCAAAACACAACTCTATTCTTAAGCATTTGTAGTTGCTATTGGCATAACAGTAACAAAAACCACACAAACATTGAAAAAAGTTACTTACATCAAGTGACAATAGTTTGTTGACCTGATCCAAGATGAGGGATTTGAGTGGGGATACAACTATGGTGACACCGGGCATCAATATGGCAGGTAACTGGTAGCAGAGGGATTTACCTGGAAACATTATACCAGTAGAGTATTTGTCTCATCAGTGCCTTTAGCCAGACGCCACTTTAGCGCTTGTCTACAGAGAGAGTAGAAAACTAAATGTATGGGGATGACAAGTGTCAAAATTTACGTAAATTCCATATAATATTCCATATATAAATTAGGTTTTCTATTCTACACGTAGACAAGCGCTAAATGGCATTTGGCTACAGCTGCTGATCAGAAGTGTGCAGCCTAATTAACTAAGACTGGCCGCCGTAATCGGAATCGATAGGGCGAAATACACTAATAAAAATTAAATTAATTTCAAACTCAGTGGTGATAACACACTATTAGGGAGCCTATATCATAAATGCACTAATATTAAATAGTATATTCTTACCTCCACCAGTGGGCATAAGCACAAAGCAATCATGTCCCAGTAACGTGGCGTTAATGACCTGCAGCTGATTGGGACGGAAAGACTTCAGGCCAAATCTTTCTTGGAATACCTCCATCATCAGCGCTGAGTGAGGGTAATCTAAGCCGTCGAATTCACCTGAGAAAAACAAATAATTAAAATATAATTTTACAAGTGGATTTACAACACCACATATTCTAGAGACCTCTAGTTATACATTACTTAATAGTTAAGTTTTACAAAACCTAAAATGAATTAATAGAACGAGTTTTTGGTTACGCAAAGAATGAAAGAAGTATATATATACAGTTCAACGTTTATTCACAAGAGACGTTATAAAACACCTATCCGTAGAGAATCGTCACTTATTACGCTGATATAAAATAGCAACGAGGGAGAGTGACCAGTAAATACTGCACACAACGCGATATTTTCACCAAAAACATGTAAATACACTCACCAGTAATACCATCGTTTTGCGTGCCAGCATGGAAGTCACCCATCCCTTCATATTTAGCAGTCTTTTCCTTCACAACCGTCTCATCCATAAGATTCAAAACTTGAGTATCTAAATCACTTTCCTTGACATTTTCTTCAAAATCTTCAGGTCTGTACACTGGCCAACCATCTTCATCAACTGGTATATCTGACTGAGTAAGAGCATCTATATTACTTGCACTGGCAACTGAGTCACTGATGTTTATGATTGATTGAGAAGCTTCAGGCATTATGTCAGTCACATCATCCATATCTATTGGTACTTCATAGTCATCCATAGGATCACTATTTTCTTCTTCTTTATTAGAATCTGTACTGGGCCTCTCCATGTTGATTAGAGAAGATTTGCTAAACTGTGGTGCTTGAAAGTCTATAGAACTTAGAGCAACTGGTGCACATTTTGGACTTTCTATTGCAGGCACAGGTTTCAATTTCTCAGAAGCATTTCTTATTCGTTCTGCTGTAGAAGACTGTATGCTACTCGGTCCTGGTTTGTTCTCTTCTAACGTAAGTCTTGAAGGTTTCTTGAATACAAATTTCCCTTTGCCTTTTACTTCTGAACTTGTACTTTCTGTTTCAGATTGACAACTAGTTTCTAGTTTAGATGAGTTATTCAGTGGAGAAAATCCATCAAATGATAATGATGGTCTAGGTAACAAATCATTCCTTGGCACTTTACTACTTAAAGTTATATCTGGGGTAGATGTCGATGTTGTAGTTGATAGACTAGCCCCATTTAAAGTACTGAGTTTATTTGTTAATTTTGAAATACTAGGTGTTAAGTCGAAATCATCTAGATCATTATTTTCTTCATATTTACTTAGTAAAGAAGGACTGCTACTGCCATTTAAATTGACATCACCATTACTAAGTCTGATTTCACTGTCCTGGGACGATGAACTAGTTTTCTTAGGTTTTGCTAATATTTTCTTCAGTCTATATTGATATTGTTTTACTTTAGCATAGACCCTTTTGTCATAACCTGGAAACTTTTCCTTTATACAATTTGGTATTTTATCAAAAGCGTGGAATATTTTCTCCAGTAACTCTATGTACATATCTTTAGATCGTTCCATGTGTTCTGGACCAGCTTCATCCTAAAAAATAATGTCATTAAGATTAAACTCACAATTAAAGTTTTCAAAATAACATAGTATAGCATTCAAGAAGAGAATTAAAACCACAAACTATTACTTATGTGCATTCTCCAACTGGACTTATCAACATAAGAATATTTTTGCAATTCTAAACCCATAGAACCGGAGATTAGTGTGTTCCACCAAACAAACTCTTCAGCTTCACTATATTACTATAAGCATAAATTACCTTTAAACTTGTGACAGTGTCATAGTGAGAAGCCAATTTATCTAAAAACCCTGTTAACGATTTATCCACCATAATGTTCTTTAGTGGGTCCTTATCTTTAGTGGCGCCCTCTTTCTCAGGGGTCTTCAATATTTTCTTCTGTTTGCTTTGTTTCTCCGGTCTATTCTTTGGTGGGGTTGGTGTGGAACTTATTCTGATTGATCTGTTTGCTTTCTCTGGTGTTCGAGACTCAGATTTTGGTTTGTGTACTTTTGGAAGTATTTGAATATCATCCTGGAATTAAATGATTATAAATAAATAAATAATATAATAATAATGATTAAGGCAAAGAAGGAAACAGGTGATAGAGATAGAGTAGCATGAGAAAAATTATGTGTATAGAAAAATATGCGTCAAAACAATAAATTGTATAAAGAATATTAATAGTAGTACTCACCACATCCATTTCAAAAATATCGTTGCTTAGATTATCCTGCCTTGTGTGGTTATGTGTGATAGGACTAAAGCCATTGTTTAAAGTTGTTCTCTTAGCTACCGGTGGAGTGGACTCCTGGTGGCCATTTGTAATTATAGGTGGCTGAAATTAACAATGAAATAAATAATAATATTCAAAATAAATTATATACAGTCAGAATACTGAACGTATGAAGTAATATGTAATATATGTATGAAGATTAATTTTAAAATTACTACATCTAAATTAAGAGAAATAAATAATAAGTTTTATGAAAATAAAATACATCAAATATGGCTAGAAACTAGCTTTTTATAGTATGTAGTTTTTTGTTAGTTAGTTTCTCTACTTCTTCGTATATCCGATTAAGTAAAAACTTTATGTATGTACATGTACATAATTGCAATTTTCTAACAAAAAATTCTTACTCACCGGCACGGTCATTGTCCTGGGTTGATCATTTATTTTCTTGAATGGAGGTGTCCCTACAATTTACATAGAAGACACATTAATTTATCATACACATATAATACATTCACTATAAACATATAATACCACAATTTGTATTCGATTGCTCCTTTCAGTTACATTACAATGTATTTTTAGGACATTGCAAAATCACTCATGTATAAAAATTTATTAATAAGGTTTTATAGCACATTTACAATTATAAATTAATTTCAGTTCATTGGTTGAAGTTAGACTTCTTCTAGACTAGACTTCTAGACTATCCAATGTCAAATAAGTTATTAAGACTAAAGATATTTCTAAAAATGTTGTTCTAAGACTGCTCCAAAATGCAAATTCCTTTAGAGCAAAAATATTAATAACTTGGTTTTCCATGTTTATTCTTTTCAAAGTATTGTGGTAAAATCTATTACTATAGAGATATGAAATGTAAATAATTATAGAAATTATACTTACAATTGCCAGAGCTTGTGGATTTTGATTTAAACACAAATCTAGGTTTCTTTTCTGAGGCCTGCTCATTTTTGCTGCCACTGAAAGAGAACATTTTCTCGTATAATTATTATTATTTGTTGTTAGTAATAAATGTTAATATGAAAATAAATATTGAGGTTAAAATGAGAACCTTCTCCTTTTTATGGAGTTGGTTGATTGGTGTGAGATCTTATTGTAAGAGATAGGTACAAAATAAAAATCTATTATTAATGTAATAATAGATTTTTATTTTGTTCCTAAAAGGGATAAATCACTGTTTGGTCATTAATGTACTGGATGATTCTGTTATTTCACTATTAACAATATGATTAGGATTCAAAACTGGAGTTTACTAATAAAATTGGTTTCAAAATAAATCTAAGTTTGTGTACGCACCTTGCATTGTTTAAACTGGAATTTTCATTTGTTTTCTTTATAAAATTCATTAAAGTAGACTGTTTACTTAGCGAAGACATTGTATAAATACCAACGCAAACTGGTTCAATTTATCATATTACAATATTTACAATATACACTTGAGCTATTTTCTCAGAAGTTCACTTTTTCAAAATCTATTTACGTTTCGTTCCATACCTCGTTGACATTTCTCTAAATTCGATACTATTTTTTAGCATGTCTTGCCGTGAAACAAAATATTATTTGCCATATTGTAAAGTTTGTTTCGAATGCTAAAAACGACAAATCAATAAATAACGGAACGTATCGGGCACAGATACGTAATAAAATAATCAGTATAAACTCGACTAACTTCTAAACGATTCAATTTCAGTTTATGTAATTTTTCAGTTTTTCAGGTACAGCACTAAAGTCTTTTTATCAATCAATCGTGACAGTTCAATGACGTTTCTTCATTTGTTGTGAATGTGATTTTTCAAATGAAATAATGTCTCTTAGAAAAGTACTTTCTCTAACAAGAACTGCGTGTTGTAACATAACTAATTTACATTCAAAAAATTATTTAAGGCAAAACGTATGGCTGCTAACTGTTAACGCACCAAAATTTTACACAACACAAGATATAGGTTAGTTTCCAGATCTCGCCTTTCCACCGGCCAAATATTTAATCAATAGTGTTTAATATGAATCAGAATTTCATGTTAAAATGTTAGAAGTACATTTCAATAGTCATCAGCAACATTTCAACTGCTGTCATCTAAATCATTTTCAATTAGAAACCATTAATGTACAATGCATAAGCAAAGACATGTGAAATTCAAATAAGAAACAATTAATTTGATAAATTGTGTTATGCTCTTTGCAATAACCACAGAGTTTACTGTAATTCCAGTTTAAAATTCTATGGTTTTTACAATTTTTATACAAAACTGATGTAATACACCTGTAATGTCTAATAAATTTGGTTTTTTAGATTCACATAAGTTCGTATTAATAGAATAAAGGAATAACGGTTAGATAAAGTCTTAGTTAAACTGTCAAACACCAAGCGGTCACCGGTGACCGCGACCTATTGTTCTTGAATTGTGTCTGTAAAACTGGTACTTGACGAGTTAAATAAAAAACATTATTATTTATTTCAAAATTTTTTATTCACCAAGTCAAGAAACTTCAATTTTTTGTTACTCAAATTTTCAGATAAAAAAGATCCTGAGAAGACTGATATTTTAGGGCGATTCTTCCCACAAAGTCCTCTCACTACAGAAGATGCACAGGCTATCAAGAAGGAACAGGAGAAATTTGAACGGGAGAATAAAGAAAAGACAGAAGAAAATGAGAAAAGTTGGAGACGAATGAAGATGGGGTATGGCAAATATTAACTACTAACTTTTGCTGGCAATACCACGGTGCTTACTCATGAAACCAGTCTCAATGTCAATTCAATTTCAATCCAATAAAGTCTAAAAATTAATTCAATGTCAACATTATAGAATATAAATCCAATACCAATAAACTCAATAGCATTTAGCTTCTTCAACATCCACCCAATACAAAAAGAAAATCCAATAAATTAATTGCTATGCTACAGGGTGAACTCTGTAATTTTGTTAATATGAGAATTTTACCCTCTATTAATGATATTCTTTTCGATGTAGCAAATCATTAATTTATTTTATTCTTATATTCTAGTATTAAGTATGTTCATTGATTAAACTTTTCTTCTTCTTCTGCAGTAAATGAGGCATTAAGCCACAATTTAAGTGATTGTCTGAAATGCAAGTATTTTTACCATAAATAAGGAACTACCTCATTATTCCAGTTTTGCGGTATTTGGTGGAGCCATGACGGTGATGGGTGGCTGCATGGTGGTGGAAATGGGTGCTCCACGCCGCGGTGATGATGGCGAAATCATAGAGGACGAGTTCTCACATATGCCCGTCGTCCTCCAGTATCTACGGCGCACGTGGAAAGAGCTCACTTTTTATGAAAAGGTAACAAATTAAAATGTTTATAGTTGTACTTGATTTACAAAAGTTTTAATGTGTCAATGTATGTTTATAAATAATATGTTTGATAAACCAAAACAGTATTTTCAAGTCATTATTAACTCTATTCAGCACAATAAAATTTCTTTAGTGTCATCGTTTTTTTCTAAATTTTTCTTTTTATGGGACAAACCTATCTCAATCTCCTAAAACTGCTACAAATCCTGTAAGCCAAGATCTATACTAGTCTAAACTTCTCTTATTTTTATAATTTTTTTTGTACACAGATGATAAAGGAGCCTTCCCGCGAGAAGTTACTGCCCGACCCGCTCCCACCGCCGTATCAGCCCACTTACACACTGGTGCTGGAGTTTACTGATGTGCTCGTCCATCCTGACTGGTCCTACCAGACTGGCTGGAGGTAGGAACAAATATTAACTTGATTAGTTAGCATTAACCATATGAATCAATGAAAAAATTGCAGGTTCTGAATGGGTTAATAAGACAATGCTTAATTACGCAATTACATACACGCATATCTTGTTATTCTTATAGTTTTCCTACACCTCTAGTCTCTAGAGATAATTTATTTTGTGTATTATATATCTGTCTATCACTTTAGAATACTTCTTCCTCCACAACAGGTTCAAGAAACGTCCAGGAGTCGACCAGTTTCTACAGACTGTCGCCAGTTCCAACTACGAGGTGGTGATCTTTACCTCGGAGAATGCTTTCATGATATGGCCAGTGCTGGATAAGTTAGATCCGGAGAACAAGTTCATCACATACAGGCTGTTCAGAGACTCCACACACTTCATTGATGGAGTACATGTCAAGAACCTTGAGGGACTTAATCGTGATCTGTCTAAGGTATGTACAACGTAATTTCCCAGTGTCCCTGTATGCTACGTTAACGGTCTAATCTTAACCTGCGCGGTCTTTAACCATCTTTACTTTTAAATTACAGGTAATAGTAATTGACTGGAACAAAGCCGCTACCAAGTTCCACCCACAGAACTCCCTCATTCTGAAGAAATGGAAAGGGGCTGATGATGATACTGCCCTCCTCGACCTTGCCAACTTGCTACAAAGTAAGTACTTTAACTTGTATTGCCTACTTAGAATTAATTATGGGTAAATGTAATATCATATCTCCCACATTAGATTAACGCGGATCTAAGATTAACATGTTAATGTATCGATATTAACCACTTGACTAGTGGTAAACACTTTTTTCAGTTTTATGATAAAAACTCCATATAATAGTCTGAAAGAATGTAACGCATCTTTCCTAGGTGAAGTTATGTAAAAAAAAAACTAAATTATCATCATCCTTCACAGCGATAGCCATGTCCGACGTAATTGACGTGCGTGAAGTGCTGACGTACTACAGTCAGTTCGATGACCCCATCGCTGCCTTCCGCGAGAACCAGCGCAAGTTGATGGAACAGCTGGAGGAGAAGGAACGCGAGAACAAAGGACCTGACCAGCCACTCACTAGAAGCTGGTTAAGGACCTTCACCAGGCGCTAACTCCTGCTTTAGGTATGTCAGTAAATGATATACATGTGCATTAGAAATTAGATATAGCCATCGTATAGGTATCCAAGGTTCTTAATTATGTAATGGAGGCGTACCGCGCCACAATTTTGTACAAGAGGTGTTATTGAGAACATAGATCTGTTAATTAGCTTAATTAAATTAAGCTACAGTTTTGACTGTGGCACGATCTTAAGCTACATTAGCACCATCTAGTGAGCACAAAATCGATAGCCCTTACTGAGACATTTCCACAAACAAAATTAAATTGTTGAAATCCAAAAGATGCTCAAATCAGCCTATATTATATTGAAAGACTAATCGAAGGCTATGTCTACTATGGCTAAGTCTCGCCAGTAAAATTAACATCTATCATTTAAGGGGAGGTTGAAGTGTTTTGGTGATTGGACAAAAATATCATTATACAGCAAAATTTAAAACATCAATTCTAGACAAGTATTATTATCCTATAACATTTCATTTCATATCCTATAACATTAGTATTATGAGCAACTAAGCTTGTTATTACACTGCCATAGTTTTACGAATTTAAATTTTACGAATTCCTAATTTATAGATAAACATTGAATGCAAAAAGTACTTAAGTGGAAAGTTTACCGCCTAAATTAAATCATTGGAACATATAATTTAAAATAAACAGTAGTAACTTTACTGTTAATGTCATCATCATTCACCAACAGCCTATAAATGCCCACTGCTGAGCAAAGCCTCTTCTCACACGGAGAAGGTTTGAGCATTAATCACCACGCTTGCTCAATGCGGGTTGGCATTACTGTTAATGTGCAATAAAGTAAAAAACTAGGTCGTAGTTGATCAATACAAAACACACTTTAAGTCTATTTTAATAAATATAATTGTAAAAAAGTTAAAATTTTAAAATATTCCGATTGCTTCCTGTTTTACGCCTGTTTAGCAAAATATGCATGTGTGTATAAACAGCAAGCAAACAACTAAAGAACTTTGATTAAGGACCTCAAGTCATAACTCATACATTACCAAGCATTCATTTTTTAGGCTTATTTATACCTAATGTTCTTTAGTAAAACTGAAAATATACCTAAGCATTGATTTTTCTTGTATAATTTATTAAATTATGCCTTCATACTCTTACATTATTATTGTATAAACTACAAAGGAAGTTAATTCAATTTTTGTATAACACTTTCTTATATTGATGTTAGCAGTTAAAATTGTTCTACTCAAGCAATCATACAAAATAATCAATGCCACTTGATGTCCACTCATGTATTGTTATTATTATATTATGCATAGTTTGATGAAATCGCAAATTTATTAAAATGTGTTCACTATTTTAATTACTAGAACTAAATGTATTGTGTACTATGTAAACTATATTTTATGTTCCCCTAAAAGAAACATACATAAAAATTGGTTTGTTAGTTATAAAGTAACTTTCATATTTCTAAATTTGTTCATTGTTAATCTAGATCAAAACGTTATTTATTTACATGTTTCATTAGTTTTTGTTTTCAATCTAAATAAAATGTATAAGGTTTGCCAGAAATCTAATTGTTATTTATGCCTTTGGTTGTTGAAACTCTGTCCTCTAGTTGGGAGATATCAACTGTTTGTATATTTTTTCAGTTTTCAACGAAGTACCCGAAGACTGAATGAATACCTCTGCGGGATACCTACTGATGCTATTTAAAATGTTGTAAAAAAGCTAAGCTTTAACAACTTTGCATTAACATGCATTGTAAGTAGACTTTGCTTGATGTAACACAAATTAAATTGTTAGTATAGTATGAATGGTTGATAGTTCCCAACTTGTTACAACAACGTAGCTTCCAACTTTATGCTGCTTGTTTGTATTAATAAGCAGCTAAAGTTTCAAACTACATCGCACCATGTTTATGAATTAATTTTAATGTGTATATGTTTGTATGTTGATTTGATGTGTGTGAGGTTGTTTCACTTGAAAAACTCAGTCATATAGGTAGGAAATATAGTTGTTTATAAAGAATATCATTGTTTTATTCATCATCATTGTTAAAAAATAAACTGAAAGAGGATTCATTCTTAGTTTCCTCAGATGGGTTCTTAATCCAAATATCCAACAGTCCTGTATCAAGTTCCTCATTTTCAAACACATCATTTATTTCTTTTTCAGTAAACTTGGTCTCTTTCTTGAGAAACTTATTCTCGCCTAGTTTGTAATCGTCAGGTACTCTCTTTAGCTTTTTCCAAATATTTCTGATGTCTTCTATGGACGACACCTCTAAGTCTTTTGGTTCCCTCTTGTAAGTTTTGCACCATTCACTGAGAACTTCTGCACTTGTATCTTCAAAGAAGGCGGTCATATATTGCGGGCACAGCGTGTGACACGACACATCCCCGAGAGAGTTTAACATGAGTAGATGATACTTGTCATCTTGTTCTAACACTGACAGCCCAGTGATTGAAGTACAGAGTCTGTCTTCTATGGGATTATTGAGATCACAGCAGAGCATCTTTTCCTTAGCTTCACTTAGTGCCTGTAGCACGCTGGGCGGCCGGTATGGCATGACGACACTGCTGATGTCTGTGTGCCTGGTCAGTCTGTCGGCGTGATTACTCACTACACACAAATCTTCGCACCACTGACTGCTCAAACAGATCAGCTCCCTGTTATAATCAAACTTGCGGACTGACATATAAGTGGGTAAGCACTGCATACCATGCGTCCACCTTTGTACAACTTTTAGCTTATTTTTCTCTTTCTTATTGTAACGTAAATCCATTAGGAATAGATGATGATCAGTCCCGAAGTAGAGTAGGCGCTTGTCTGTACCGTGCCTCGCGACACTGATGTCATTACATGCTACATCGTCTGTGATATTTCGTAGATTTTTCCACCTTTGGAAAGCGGCATTAGTTCTTTTATCATAAAGAGTTATTGCATGTTTTGCTACATGCGTAAAGTATCCTCTCTCGGAACCAATCACTGTGCTCCAGTTGTCGACCAAGCTGCTCACATTACCTCGTAACTGCCTGCTTCGACCTGTCATTCTGTCTATGTTTACAATAGTGAGTTTGTAGTCCAGAGTAGTAACATACAAAATATTTTTATGATATTCATCAAAAGATATTCCTGTGAATGGTAATGTTGAGTCCATTTCTTTGAGTTTTTCTATCTTTATGGAACTGTCACAGTCTAATATTTTTAACACAAATATTTTATGTTTAGTTCTCAATGCTATGATGTTCTGTGATGATATAGTTTCAAGAATATTAAGTCCGGGTCCACAGTCAAAGGTAACAGTTGTGTCATGTTCTATCAATAAATTATATTTTAGGAAGAAAGTAATATCTGAAAAAGAAAAAGAATAAATAATATTGTAAGTTTCAGCAGGTTCCCTACAGCGTTAGGCACCACTAAAGTGAAAGATCTTACAATGATGCAATATTTAGGTAATGTGAATTAACAATAATAAATGTTTGAACATGAAGAGATAAACACATTTATAACATAGATAGACGAAAACTGATGAAAAAGTTAATATACATTGATTTGACTGTTAGAAACAGTTTTTAGTAAAAAACTTAAAATATGTATAATTCTTGGAAAAAGTAACTGATAGATATGATGACACACACACACAAACAGGTTAAATAAGATATTACAGAATACTTACACAAGCAGCTAAATTCACTGTGCACCAGATAATCAATTCCGTACAGATTCATCAGTAACATGTTGCCATGACCAGCATAGTACCAATTGTAACTGCTCTCAAAATAAAGGTCCGGGTTCTGTTCATAATGAGCTGCAATCTCCACCAGTTGCTCCGGACAATGCAATACTTCTTCATTAATCCATTCGTATTTACGTTTTTTACTCATCAAACCTGTTAAACATCAAATGGAAAGTTAGAAACTAATACCATAATTTTTTAGAAGCAATTGTGCAATAACTGCTACATGGGGTGCAACTGACTTGTCTATGTATGTCTTAACTCGTCGAGTACCGGATTTATAGACACAATTAAAGAACAATAGGTTGCGGTCACCGGTGACCGCTTGGTGTTTGACAGTTTAATAACAGATACACGAAACTTACGCATGATTCTTTTATAATCAACCATGGTGTCCTGCCAGATCATTTTCTTCTTCATGTATTCAGTGACGGGGTCTTTTTTGTCAATGTTTTTAATGATAGATATCATTTTGGGTAACATACTCGTGTGTGAGAATGTTTCAAAGTATCCAGACTTCAGACCTCCGTCCCAGTCATCACTGAACACGTTTAACGGATGCCCAACAAGTAAAAAATGTTTGTTATCACGATATTTCCCTGCAGTAGTACGTCTTTGCCTCACTGTTTGACTGTACAATGAATAAATCTTGTTCTTTTTCTTTTGATTATCTTCTAAATATTCTATTATTTTATCCGCCGAAGCATTGTTATCTAAACCATCCGCTATGAATGTAGCTTCTTTCCTTCTCTGAAAATAATACAAGAAGAAAGTTTACCTCAACTTTAACTCTATAGCAAAGTGGCAAATTAAATGCTTTCTATACTAAATTATGTAAAGGAAATTAAATTAATTCGATAATATCTAGAAGGGTTTCCATAAATCCATTTTATACCATGGTATAACCACCCACTAGAATCATGGTTATAATATTTCGCTACATACCTTTATTATGTCGATTTTACTGTCTTCCAGAGACATCTTTTCTAACACAGTATAATAAATTATATAATATTAGAATCCTAAAAATTACATATAATCTTAAAAATTAATATTTTAGGTTAACCGAATGTTTACAATCGGACGACGGACAACAAAACTAATACAGCTGTCACTGTCACAGCAACAGTTGAGTTGTCGTGGTCAAATGTCATCTTTCGAACTCAAAATTTTAAATTAATTTGATATCATTTTGGAGACTCGTTTGCCAAAGAGGGAAAAAAAAAAATAATTTGATATAAGTCTTTTGAGCAGTTTTTAAAGGCAAGCAACAATCTATATAAATAAAAATGAAATTCCGTTCGTTAGTCTCGCTAAAACTCGAGAATGGCTAAACCGATCTGGCTAATTTTGGTCTTGAAATGTTCATGGAAGTCCAGGGAAGGTTTAAAAGGTGATAACAAAATTTTTAGGCAGTACGAAGTTTGCCGGGTCAGCTAGTTTGTACTTAAATGAAGGCTAAGCTGCTTCTAATTCAATGATTTTACTTAATTTATATGAAATTTGCGCTATCCTAATATTTTTCATGGAATAAAGTTATGTTACAGGCTTACAGCTGGTAGAATAGTTCAGTTATGAAAGGCAAATGGCAATATACTACATACAATCCTTCGCAATCGCATTATAATAATTATGATCTTATCATTCTATCTGTTTATTAGCTTTTAATATTGTACCAAAGAACCCCTATTATAAAGACATTATAAACTCATTATTTCGCACTCCTCGTGGCTATTTATTACGTGAAATACTAAAAACCAGTATCAACAGTATTTTATCCAGTTTGCTATAATATTTTGAAATGTGCCTACTCAGTGTAATGTTTCTTATTCCTTATATACTTATGATAAAGAGTGGCCAAGCACCTATGCATTTATTAGTAACGCGTGTTGGGCCATGCCACAATCAAGAGAAAAATATACTCAAAGTTTCGGAGTTCAGCGTTACAACACAGAAATACGATTCTAAGCTTAGCGGTATGGTTCATATTTCTGAAAATATAGGTAATGGTTGGAAGATTAAGGTAAATAAAATTTAATTCATAGCATGTTCATAGATGTGGGTAGTTTGTGGAACTCTAGGCCATAGTATATATTTATACTGAGGCCTTTTATAATTTAGTTATATAACTATAAGTAGGTAATTTCTTAATTCCCAGGCAACCATGAACAAATGTGCGGACATACGTAATACAGACTCGTGCGACTTCTTCAAATCATTCTTTGTAATAAATAATGGCTGCAGTTCCAATGATAATGAGTCGGATTTGTATAGCACCCTCTTCAATTACACAATTCCAAAGTAAGGTTTTTTTGTAGCTTTCATGCGACCTCGTGACCCCTAAATACAGATAAAACAAGGACAGTTTAAGTATTTTATCAAACCATTAAAGAAAATCAAAAGTAATTTTACTATTTATATTTATAGAATAAAATGCCCCCTTCAGGCTGGAACCTACAAATTGCAAAATTATCCGTTTCATAGTGATGATAACTACGTTACGGCGTTCGAGTCTAAAACAACAACAAGTGCGTTTGGCTACACTTGTAGATTGGATGGTTTCTCTGTTTACAAGAAGAAATTAAAAAAGGTAGGTATACTATATTTCAAATATACTGATATTAAGTCTAGTATTTAAAACCACCTTAAATAATAAAAGTACCAAAGAAAAATGCATCCTGTAATATTAGAAATAAAGTCCTTATCTTGGTGAACTGATAAAAGTGTATGGTTGCTTTTAGATATTTTGTGCAGAAATATACTTAGAAGTGCTCTACAGGAGGCATCACGCCTGGTCAACGATCACCAATAATCAACCTAGTACAGATCAGCCTGATAACAGTCGAGAATTTGTGGATGAAAATAAATAAAAAATTGCGCTACATTTCAACTGTAAAAATTCGAAACCATGCGTCTTGTCATACATTGCATGAAAAATTAGGCACTTAGAAATAAAAACAATTACAATAAAATATTAATATTTTATTCATCCCATCCCCATAGCCCATGGCTCTCTCTGATAGTTTCTCTATTATCTCTCCTCTGTCTGGTGACGGCACTCGCTTCTCCTTTAGCTATCGCCTTCTTCCTTTCCATCTTCTTCCGTTGCATTTCCAGATTCTTCTTTACTTGCTGCTTCACGATTTCTGGCGCTATCGTACTTGCTGACGAATATGTCCTCATTGATCTTACATCTGACAATGCTTTTTCGATCATCGCAAGTCTGTATTTCTGTGAGTTTTTGTCTAGATCTGAATCAGATGTTTCTTCTGTTGGATCTACAAGTTCTGGTATTTCTTCTTCCTCATCCTTTTTGATGTCGTTTTCATTGTCTTGTTCTGGTCCTGCTATTTTTAGTTTAAATGTTTTTGTTGTGAGTTGATGTACTGGGCGTTCATCATTCAGTATTGACTCATCCACCTAAAATATTTTATAGAACATGTTAACATTTTGAATCACAAATCAATAAAAGATAATTTAAAGCAAAATAATTATTTACCTCTTTCCTAAGGTCATCTAACTCTTGTTCTGTCATCTTGTTACTCTTTTCTTCTTCTTCATCATCATCAGATTCTGATTCATCATCACTGAATTCAAGACCTATGCCCATTTCCTGGAAAATAGCAGACACCATTGAAACCAACATTACAGTGATAATTTTAGTAAACTTTAGTCTCTGGTGTACTACAGGGGAACATTTTGGGCCCCATGCAATTTAATCAGTACATTTTAGAAATAATGTTTCTACCTGAAGCAGCTCATTATCAACATCCTTGGTTCGTTTGTATCCTGAACAAGCGATCTCTGTATCAAGCTCGTCATCTCGCTCGAGGTCGCTGAACTTCGGATAAAGGTCGCTCTCGTAACCAAAGCGTTTTTTGAAGAACTCGCGGACGCAGCGAACATCCCGATCGAAGTAACTATAAAGGAAATAAATTGTGGCTTTACTGATAATGATAATAAAAATTTATAGCTTAAAAATAAGTTTTTACTTTAGAGTGTCATTTATCAATTGATCAGATTTTTTTTTATAAATTAAGTTAGACTTACAGCTCAGCATTAGGATGTGAAGTGGAGACCATCTGTGGGAAATCAATGATGACAGGATGATTGTCTTCATCAATCATTATGTTGAACTCATTAAAGTCTCCATGGATGACACCGCAGTTGCCAAGTCTCACTATCAAGTTCATCAGCTCATCATATAAGGATTCAGGGTCTTCCACTGAAGATACATGAGTTCTGTAATCAAGGATATTAAAAAAAAATTAAAATCAATATAGGTATTATAATTAATACTGGTCAACAATCAAGAATGAGTTAATGAATTTTGCATTGGACCTAAGGTGCACCCCTGGGAAACCCACTAAATATTACATTATAAAATCCCAAGAAAAAGTGGTAGACTTATAGTAATTGTCACAACGCACATTTATATTCCAAGCATATTACTGTGAATATTAAATTAGTTAGCAATTTTAATACTTACAATGGTCCACCAGTCACCAGCTGCATCACAACACAATGTCTGTTGAAGTCAATAGGCTTGGGAACAGGGAAGTCTCTGTCATACAAGGCCTTCATATATGCAAACTCCTTGGTTGCTGATATACGGGACAGGTACAGCCAGGATGCCTTGTTGCGGTGTGCATGGTAGTCTCTTTTATCTTTTATGTTGCGGAAACATGTGCGGCCCAGTCTAAAATAATAGTAGAAAGAATTTAGATCACATGCATACCACTTGCTGGCAGAGAATAATGCAGTTAGCATTAAGTCCTCCTTATGCTATTTAGTTGTCACTCTCGGGTCACAGCATTTTAGCTGAGCACTTGTCCTTTTTACATGGTGCACACTTTTACTATTTATTGTTTTAATTTTTTACTGCACAAATACTGTTTTTCTTTCTTTCCTTTTATTGTGTAAAACTTAAATAAATAAATAAACGTCCAAAATGTTTTTGAAAGATAATCCTACAAATTATATTGTTTTATTTTTGTGGTTATTTATAAATGTAGACTGAAAATTCTGCATTAAGTCTAAAATGCCATGAAACTATTGATGCTCTAAATTATTATATGAGAAAATAATTTAGTTATTTACCTGTGAAGCTTCAGACATAATGGATTGCGGTCTTCATCAGCTACTGTGTAAATGTTAGATTCCTTTCCCACACCAATCTGGTTGCCAAATGAAGCAATAACTTTTCTGTTTGTCAGAACTTTCAGAGCAAGATAGTCGTAACCAGAGTTTGTGAGACGGTACCCATCATCTGAGTGAGGAAAATACATGATTTATTAAACAAATACAATATTTTATGATTCGTCTTAATATATAATGAGTCTTTATATAGTAGATAAGTCTAATAATTAAGGTTAAAGTTTTATTAATAAAGTTACATGTTGGACTTAAATGTGTCAGGAAATATGATATTGCATTGGAATAAACTGTAAGATGTCATATTGTAAGGTGTTGTAATAAATAAATAGTTTTATCAGCACATATGTCTCTGTCCACCCCTTCAGTGGCGTCACATTATATTTGTTAGATCAATAATTATTGTAAAAGATAATAATGTACTCACAGTGTTTACCACGTTCATATGTCAACAATCGATGTTTACACAAATCTTTCATTAGTTTGTGCACTCCACCATGACGGAGGTTAGCTATAGATGCCACCAGAGATCCAGGCACAAGTTCATGGTTTTTCATACCCATTTCCACCTGTAATTGAAGAATTTAAAACAAAGTTTAGCATAGTAGTATTTGGTTTGAGGTTACGTGATGTTATTTTAGAAAGTATAGGTACTTACTGCGGTTAAGACGCGAAAGTCTTCAGCTGTTAAATAACGCAATATTGCAACGTCTAACTTGCCCATGTTGAAAGTTATTTATATTATCATCAGATTTTAATTTTAACAACGTGATTCCATCCCAGACACTAGGGCACAAAGGAAATGTCAATATTATCATTTGTCAATGTCACATTTGACCACATCTGACTTTGACATTTGATGACTCGTACCGAGTTACGTTTGACTATGTTGTTTCAAAGTTTATTATGAGGCAGTTTAATAATGTTTTTTATAATTTATCCAATTCTTCAACTTCTTTTAACAGAATACCTCTTTTTAATTATAGTGATTGACTCTTTATTTTATAATTTTAATATTTTTACGATTGCAAACACTCACTTCTTGTTAGAAACTGAGATAACTAAACGTAACTTTGTATAAAATTGAATGAATGAGGCGATAACAAATGTGAATGAACAATGAACGCAGTCCATCGCTCAGTCAGAAGGTCATCGTGAAACGTCAACGTTCATCGTTATTGATAACGGTGCAACATTTAGCCAAATTAAACCCTAATGCAGTGGATCCAGAGTTTTGTTTACCAGAAACAATCAAATTGTCCTCGATTAAATATTACCCACAGTTTTGGGCACTGGGGCACTGCCCAAAATTCCTCCGTTAACCTGTCTGGGTCTAAATTGTTTTCTGCGACTTGCAGTATACTATGAATATTAATTTATTGTGACAGACTTTATGGGTAATTAGTGAATATCTACAAATTTATTTGGAACTAAGTTTTTTCAAAACACCCAGTTTCTTAATATTATTTTTTGAGTATTATTTATGCAAATAAGTGATAATGGCTGGCGGTTTCGTCAAGGGCGAGATAAAGTTGGACACGAAGCCGGTGTATTACTCCGGCCAGGTCGTATCAGGATCCATAGACTTTACTCTGGATAACCCAATATCTTTTTCTGGTAAGTTCCTAACGATTTGTACCATATAAAATAGATCCTTTCTAGGGGGTAGTTGATGCTCTGAACCATATATGTTTTTTAAATATCATATTTTCTAGTTTTTATAGGAATAAGTATTGTTTTCACTCCTAAGATGACTCACTGACCTATACTTAGTATTAGCATAGAGCCAAAAATATTATTATCAGGTGTAAAATTGTTATTTAAAGTTGACTAAACATGTAGGTAGGAATATTTTGTAATAGGTACTAATATTATATTTATTTCAGTAATCTACATACAATTTATTGGAGAGGCCACAGTGTCTTGGACTGAGAGTGAAATAGAGACTGTGAATGGTGTTCAGAATCATAGAATTATTAATTATGTTGGCCGAGAGGAATACTTTAACCAAAGAGTTACACTGGCTGGAGGGACAGGTCAGTATAGATTATGCTTCATCTTACAATAAACACCAATAAATTTGATTTGTTTTTTTTTTCAAACAGTAAGTAGGTATAATAAGTAAAAGGGAAGTTTTTCTCTACACATTCAGTGAACATAGACAAAAAGTGACTATCCATAATTTTTAAGTGTATTGTTGGTTTCAAATCTTCCTATGCATGACAAAGAGTACAAAAATCCATTCAACTGTCCTTGAATTTTAAATAGAGTAACTTTTTACTGTACTACCTGCTATTTTATTTATAAAATGTATAAACAGTCTAATGTATTGAATTTGTGGAATTAAAAGTCAAATATTTTATTCAAATTAGACCAAAAAAAAATTGTCTATGCCAAGGTCTGTTAGTGCAAAACTACCTACTTGCTCATTCTTAAGTCTCCACTCCAAATAAAAATCAATAGAAATGTTAAACCATTGTTTGTGGTTATCACATTATTTAATTTCTAATCTATTTCAGGTGTTTCCCAACTGTCCGCTGGTCCACAATCCTATGCCTTCACTTATCAGCTTCCTTTCAATGCCCCTTCCTCTTTGAAACGAGAACAGGGTAAAATAACATACTCCATGAAAGCACACTTGGTACATGCGGACCCTTCAATACTGGTTGATGAGTTGGAAAAGGAATTCGAAGTTGTAGCACCTTTTGATCTAAATTTAGGAAGTACTTTGATTAAAGTGAGTTCTATCATTATTTATAAAAATTTAATTAGGTAATATGAGATTTTTTCCTTTTTTTTGTCTCTAGAGGTTGTAGTCACGGTAGCACACTAGTTTTGTTTACTAGCTTATGTTACGAGTCCTATGTAAAAGGGGCGAATCCATACTCAGAGATTTTCTTTCGACAACCAAAAACTCGATACCTACTGTTTTGCCAACAATCACATCTCAGTTTATAAACTCGAGCCATCAGAACACCACAGATGGAGCCCAATAGGGGATACAAGGGGCTCTGGCTCAAAGCAGGAGATAGAACGGGGTAGTTTATAGTCAGTAAGAGTCTGAAATTCCCTCGGGCGCAAGAAGCCGTTGGATGATATTCTCCCCTCAAAAAAACCCTCGTATTTGCAACCACTTTATCATCGACAAGTTCTAAAACAATATTTTCTTTACCAGCAACCTACACAAGTGGAATTTGAAGAAGTGTATGGCTGCGATTGTTTCTGCAGTACCAACCCTGTTACGATACGCGTAAAGTTGCCGTACTCTGGTTACTGCCCTGGGCAGGTCATACCCATCGCGATTGAAGTTGTCAACCAAAGCAGTGTTGAAATCACTAAGATGATATTCCAAATTGTGTCGGTAAGTCGTTATCTTGGTCCGAAGCACTGAGGTCAGCTTATTGTGGCCTTCCTATTACCACATAGCATAACATCACGCCTTTTTATCCCCGAAGGGGTAGGCAGAGGTGCACATTTCGGCACTTAATGCCGCTGTACAACGTAACACCCACTTTTCACTATTTATGTTATGAGTCCCATGTAATAGGGGGTGAGCCTATTGCCATATAGCGGGTACATTTACAGACTCCGTGCTACTACTGAGATTTTAAAAACCCAGTAATACTTTGCCCGACCCGGGAATCGAACCCGAGACCCGGCAGTCGCACTTGCTACCACTCGGCCAACCAGACTATTACCACTTAAACATAAAAATCACCTCTTTTATCTGTAGGGGTTGGTGGTATCTACATATCGCTACTTACTACGACCACCTCTAATCCGCGTTTAATTAGTACATTTACATAGTACCACATGTTTTTCCTTGTGTAGTACCTAATAATTTGTATAATAATTGAATTACCTACCTGTTTACGGAAACTGTAATCTAAAATTAATGAGTTAGGTACCCATAAATTTTACAATGTTAATTACCCATTTGTTTGTTTTTCACCTATGTGTTTGACTCTGAGTTTCTTTAACCCCTCGAGCGTCCTTATGAGCACCCGGTAGATCATGAGAAAAAATGCTCCATGCTGCTTTCTCTTTTATAAAATCTATTATTAATGTTTTGTTTTTATTTTGACTGTATTTGTTTTATTTCTATCGTAATGATACTTGTTTTCGTGTGCCAATGGCCACATAAATGCATTTTCTTGCATGCATAAGGATAAGGAAATGCATAAGGAACGCGGACGCTCGACGGGTTAACAGTCAGGACTGGGTCCTTCAATTTTAGAGTTTCAATATTTTGTTAATAATAATATAAACTTTTGGGATCGCTAGTGAAGTAAACTTGCGAATTTAAGATTACACAATCGCAATTTTATTACAATTGATGATTACGCCCGACTGTGTAATAGATAGCGAAGGTCATCGCGCAGATCACATACTATGATACTACCTACCTATGTTTGTTGTCTGGTTTTAAAATGTAGGCACTTAATACTTAGGGTATTCAGTTTATTAGACGTATTATATAAACAAATACGTACAACTTTTGACAATTTATGAAATACTATTGAGTTGTAAATTCACCCTACGAAACAATATCGTTTTATGTTGTACCTACAAAACAATATCGTTTTATGTTTTAGGCTCACTCAAGTAACTGTTTGACGAGGAACTCGACTCGACTAGTTTCAAGCCATGCTAGAGGCTCATATTCGTAACTAGTCGAGTCCTTCGTCAAACAGTTACGTGAGTAAGCCGAAAACATAAAAATTGAATATCGTGTTAGTTAAAGAACTTTAGATTGATCTTTTAATTTCGAATTTCTAAATAAACACACGATTTGGCATGTGATGGTGTCATAATTTTACTACACAATTCAACTTATCTATAGTTTAGTTTAGAACACATACATATTTAATTTTTACTTTATTATGAAAAAAATATTATTCATTACTTAATTTTGTTAACAGAAAGAGCTATACCGCAGTCACCAGCCGCCGTCTGAGTACATACTACCGGAGACAGTGCTGGCCACCACAAAGAAGGGGCCCGTAATGGCGCGGAGCAAGCGGAGCCTGACCTGTGATCTCGTAGTGCCGGAGATTATACCACCTTACCTTGAGAACTGCGGTATCATCGATGTTGGGTACTTCTTCAGGGTAAGATATTCTTAATTTTCGAAAGAATATGAGCAAGAGACAACGTATAGCTACATAATGTATCTTTTCGATTAAACCGTGGACCTACAAAATCTTTTCCTATTTTAGGTAACAATAAAACTATCAGGATGTAATGACGAACTGCAAGATGAAGCTGAGATCTGTCTCGGATTGGTACCTTTGAGAGAATTTACTGAAGAGTATGTGCATCCATTGGCGGATAGTTTGCCAACGGGGCCTATTCCAGACATCAGTCAGGCACCACCCCATCTCCTGCTTCCTCCTGTTATCATCACCAATGCTGTAAGATCGTCCAACGCCAGCCTGAATAGAGTGCAATACGCCCCTACTCAACTAAACCCCTACCAAAATCCTCCTCCTTACCCTGGTCTAAACAGCGGCTACCCTGGACCTAGATCAGCATCTCCAGCACAAATGGAAATGAAGCCTAAACTTGAGATAGGGTTCACAGTACCGGCTGATGTAAATACAGGGTATCCGGGTGCTGGGTCGGGGTACCCGAGGTCTGGTCCGGCTTATCCGATAAACCCTCCGGTTAGAAGAGGCAATCCTCCATCTTATGAGGCTAGTATACAATCTCCTTACCCTCCAAGCAATATGCCTGGTCCCTCTTATTCTCAAGGAGGATTCGCGCCGTCAGCCCCACCGCCTTCGTAAGTACTTTTTTTTTATAAAAAACCTCATTTCTATTTTTGAAACGAATGACAAGTTTGTTATTTCTATAGTATTGCTGTTGGTATTTAATTAATATTTGAATGCAAGTTTTGTTCAAAGTTATCCTGTCACTAATTGTAATGAGTAGGTATGTTTTCCGTGTGATTTCATTCACATATTTATTTTCTTATTGAAGGCAAAGTTATTCAGGAAAACATTTTTTAGGATTACAATTAATTACCGATGATGTATGTTATCTACAAAAGCTTTTTTATAGAAACAATTAATTTTGCATTTCTAATACAATACGATTGTATATACATAAATTTACTTAGACATAAGAGCATTTATTATTGACTATTGTCTTATATTCGACTTAATTATTATAATCATGGCCTTAAGAATCTTTAAAAAGATATTATAAATGTTTGATAATTATAACATTAAATAATCGTGCTTAAATGAACCTTAGTGCATTGAAATCTCAACTTTATTACATAAATCATTAAAGTATATTTCACAGTAAATTGACACATTTGGTTTAGAAACTTGTACTACAAAAATATCTTTACTACTCAGAACATAAAGTTGACAATGCGCTGAGATAAATGTATGGAAATAGTACTTAACAATTTGAATATTTTGAGTATATTCTGTACAGTCTAAAGTTACATAATTATGTGCCTCTAATTAAAAGACAATATTGTCTATTGCAGACAAAAATACACAAATGCCATAATATTTACTATTTTTAAGCATAAGGATATCGCCTTATAATTCTTAACTTTATACATAATAATTATAATATGATATACTGTAGAGATATTGAATGGAATAATGTTATTTTATTGTTATAAAATTATTATTAATTGATTTTACATACGGTGCTAAAAGCTTCGTCACAGTTGATTGTACTTTAAAAGTACAATTTTGTAATTATTTTTTATTAGGTGCTAACATTTATACTGTTACAATAAGCTACACATACGCCCTCTGTCGTGCCTTGTTCCGTTCTTTCTTTCTTCCTATTTTCTTTTCTTATATTTTTGTTGTTACAGTCACAAATTATTAAATGTTCGTACGTGTATCGTACACGTATTGTGAAATGAACTTTACTCGTAATAAATTAAAGTTGTTAATTCCAAATTTATTTCGATTCCTTGGTAGTAGTATTTTACATTTTTATTTTTTATACTCTATTCTTTGTTGGACATGGTGCTTACAGTAAGTTAAGGAAGCGTTTTCTATCTAGTCGTATGGTAAAGTAAACATTGTGAAACTCCTTTGAGGAGTGTGCAAATATCTATGGATCTGATTGTTGAAAAAATGTAAGTGGATTTAGGACTTAACTGGTGACTTTCAAGGATATAAAATGAAGCACTTGTGAGGATTACCTTGGATGTTACGGCTAGATGGCAGTTGCCCCACGTAACATACTGATATGCAGCCAAAGTATAAGATTCAGTGCCAACCCCAACATATTTAAGTGACTATCAAAAATCTTTTCTAAAATATTTGTCTCGAATACATAAATGTCTATTTCACTTTGAAAGTTACCGTGTTACACGTCAAGCCACATTATACCTACTTGTTAAATTGTTAGAGTATGATAATATTTGCACAAAAGTATGATTGGAACTGGAGTATGATGATAAAAGAGAGCACAAACGCGTATTAATAATGAACGGGAGTCTGCGCATATTTGGAGGTGCGTCACATGACCTTAATACGCGATAATTTAATTACTGAAGCGCGAAACGTCTGGCGCTTAATCTCACTAAGGAAGAAGTATCATATAGACGGGTTGCATGAGTACTTCATAATTGTTTTTAATCTGTAATATGTGTGATGATATTATAAAACAAACTCTATGTTCTTAACAATACAGTTGAATTTATGTTGTCGTGTGATACCGCCCATATGCGCAGACTTCTAATGTAATGTAATGTTATGAAAAACTGTAATCCTGTTTAGAACAAAAACTGTTATACGATATTTTGACTCCATAAAATATTTTGATATTTTTTATTTTGTACCTATACGAAAAATATACGCATTGTTATCGTGAGAAAATTGTAGTTTTATTGAACCAGACACACACACACATAGTATATTTATTATTCTGTTAGCACTTCCATGTAAATTTGTAAGGTACATAACGGCTTATTGCAGATCAACAGTCGGCGCTCGCGTTTATTTTTAGCCTATGATTTTTGTGTTGCTATTCGGCTGCGCGGGCGCCGGCTAACATACTTGTGTGCTAATGACGCATTGCATAATTGTTGTGGTCTTAGTACATTTTGAGTACGATCTACGTACCATTATGTAAGTATTCTATACCGCTAAATTATTTCATTTATTTACTGAATGCAAAGAATTACTGCGTAAAAGTTAGGTACGCTGTAGGTATTAGAAATAAAAATGTACCTAATAATTGTTATTTTATACTTATTTGTTTTCGAGTTGTCTTAATTTAATTATTATGCTTTCGGCTTACTCATGTAACTGTTTGATGAGGACTCGACTAGTTTCAAGCCATGCTAGAGGCTCATATTCATGAGCATTGAACCGCGACTCGGCGACTGTCGCGCTGTTACAATCTTATTTTGATAAAAACACTGATTATTGTAATAATATGTAGTAATGATCATATTCTTCATATACATTAATACCATAATTATATGTGTTCGTGACAAGAAAATTATAATAAACTTTATACCTACTTGATAAAGTGCACATACCTACCTAATTGCAAATAAGGTTGGTCAGGACTGGTTTGATAAATTACACACAGGTAGGTAATATACATGATTTATTATCGATTACATAGTCTTAATAAAAGTCAAAGCATCATAAAATATATTCGAGTTTACAACTAAATACATTGCGAAGATCCTTTCCCTAAGTATTTCTTCATAATAAAGTTATTGTACTTCTGTTCAAACAGGAACACTTACTGTAGATTGGATTTAATCCGACATAAAGAGGTATAAATGCGTTTTCTTAACTAAAATATATTTCGTAACGTATTTTAAGGCACATTATAGAAAAACAGTTTAAGTATTGTTTGTACTGACTAGTTTATAGATAAATCACTTTAAAAATATAATTATAAGATACATTTTGCATTGACAATTTTATAAATGGTAAATATTTTATATTATTTATATCAAGACACTTAATTTTATTTTATAGAAGCACCATAAACAGCGTAACATAAAAAAATCAGCACGTAGACGCCTATAAATCTTGTTGAACATGAAATTAATAATAATATAAAAAAAAATTGATTCAAAAAATAATTTTGTTCTCTATATCAGACCTAAACATCGCCTTTCCTTACAAATATACATGTGAAATTGTGTTTGTGTGTCTTTCTTTCACATAACATAACATCACGCCTTTTATCCCCGAAGGGGTGGGCTAAGGTGTATACTATGGCGCTAAATGCCACTTAACCCGTCGAGCGTCCGCGTTCCTTATGATCCAACGGGTGCACACGTGACATTTGGAAAATATTTTCTTATGATCCACCGGGTGCTCATAAGGACGCTCGAGGGGTTAATTCCGACCCGGGAATCAAACCCGAGACACTTGCGACCTCTCGGCCAACGAGACAGGCAATGTCTTTCTTCCATGTTGCATTATGTTGACTGAAGATAGACAATGACTGACAACTGACCGCGGACCATATAACGGCGATTTACAATATGCGAGAAGATAAACTGTATTATTAATTTTCCTAAATGGACAAAGTTAAAGTCAAAGCATTTATTTCAAATGAATCCTTCATCAGGTATTTTTGAAACGTCAAAATTCAATTGTCCTTCCGTTGTCTGTCAGCGAAGCTTAGTGCTCGTTCTTAAGTCTAGTTTCGAATGGATAAGAACGAGCAGGAAACACCAATGCACATACTATGCTTCTCATTTAATTACATTCAAGTACCTATAGGTATATAAGGCATAACGTTTCATTAAGTACCGATAGACAAAATATTGTATGTCTAATATTATTGCAAGTATCTCTTACTATTTCTGTTAAAGGCTTTTTTACCAGACTGTTTGACAATCAGAATGAACATTTAAATTCACAATACAATAATGAAGGTCCTTTACGTTCATCTATTACTTAATTTATAACCTTATCTTATATTTTACTTAATTAAAGAATCTAATATTAAAAGCTGCAAAATATAAAACATTATAAAAATTCCAAAATATCAAAATTACGATTACCTATAATAAAAATGTAAAAAAGCTCTTATAATAATTATTTGTAACATTATAACAATATAATAAACATTACAAGTATGTAAATATATGAATTTATCAAAAGCCGTGATGCCTTGTTTGCACTACGCTAGTAATTTAGTCGAGTAGCGAATGTTCAGTAGTTATCTCTCGTTTCTGTCTAAATACTCACTACTCGACCAAATTTCTAGCGTAGTGCGAACAAGGCATATGGGATAAAGAATTTACTTTCGTCATAAATAAAAAATGTGTTCATCAAAAATATTTTTGGAGCTGTAGGTACTTTTGCAAACATTATATTTATAGAAATACTTTCAAAGACTTAAGTATTAACAAAAGTAAACATTTTCAAGTACAAGTCAGATTACAGAGAAAGCATCTTGCCTTCAAAGTTTTTATACAGCACCATTTAATATGGCACATATATATATCTGTTTATCGTAATTTATTTTGACACTCTCAACCCCCATAAAGAATGGTGCACAAGCAAAACTTTTTTTATTATTTAAACGTAAATTATATTTGTTACGTTTATATTCTTAATGTTAAATCCATACAGGCCTTGCTAACCAACTTTAATTTCAATATTCAGCATTTTTAATGCCATCCTACCTCTAGGTTTTAAACCAAACGAGATCATAAACATTCTGTCTTATAAATCCACTAGAGGGCTCCACATTCGTAAAAAGACATTATATGGTGTACATTTTCAAAAAATATTCCTGGTTGCATTATTAAAATTAAGTGTCATTGTGTGTGATGATTTTGTATAATTATAGCTTATATTTTAAACACAATTTTAAACATGTCTATATCTTATTGCTTACGGCAGCTTGTTAGATGCCAGTTTATTCATTTGAACTTTATTTCTAACTTCATAAGATTTAAGTTCAAATGAAGGCACCAACATCAAGGCACCAACGTTATGTCCGGTCTAGTAGTATTTTGAGGTAGATTAGGTGTCATTTAGTTTGGTTTGTCAACTTTCTGATCTTTTTTCTCATCTTCCTTCATGAATTCTGGGTTGTACGGCGGAGCGGCTGAAGTTTCTTCTGGTACAGCCAATGGTGGTTTTTCTGTGATAAAGACATGCACTTTAACATTCCGCCTTTATTAATTGTAACACATTTCTTCAGTTGTGTTATAAGTTCCGTGTATAGTGGTGGTATTATTGCTTTTTTACCTTACACTGGGTATCATTGCAGCACTGCACAATTCGTGCTACTACTGAGAATTTTCGAAAACCGAAAAGACTCATAACTCTTTGTTCTTTAAAAGCGGGATTGAACCCGAAACTACTTCTTTGGTCGCGCTTGTAACCACTTGTCTAAGAAGGCAGTCATTTGGACAATTTCATATTATACATAATACTATCATTTTGGATTATGTAGTACTTACTTTCATCTGTACCGGGTGTGGGTGGGACAGGCGCCGACGCAGTCGCATATGGGTTCGACGGGGGGCTAGTAGGCTGTAGCAAAGAATACTATAAGTAAACTCATATCATTCACTCAAATCATAGAGACTATAGTATAGTATTAATTAAGAAAAACAGGTTTTATCATGAACAATTATTAATTAGAGACAAGATACAATAACTGACGTATTCAACTTACATAAGGCACGTTGGCTCCTTGGGGTAACAATGGCATGGCGGCGGGGTCTCCACCCTGTACTGCCGAGAATCCCATGTTGCCAGTTTTCACCAACGTCGTTGTAGTTACGCCAGGGTAAGGGGGCGCAGCGCTGGGTACGCCAGTATAAGGGGGCGAGGCGCCGGGTACGCCAGGGTAAGGGGGTGCAGCATCCGGATACGGCGGCGCTTGGTTTGGACCATTGTCCGTTGAGTAAGGAGTATTACTAGGGTAAGGCGATGGTCCTCCAGGGTAAGGCGATGGTCCTCCAGGGTAAGGTGAAGCGCCAGGATAAGGCTGATTTGGTGGGTACGGAGAAACAATAGGTTGATTTCCAGGGTACGGGGAGGTTCTACCGCCCATAACAGGAGTAGTTGGATAACCAGGAGCACCAGGGTAAGGCGAGTTATTAGGGTAAGGGTTGGGGTACCCATTAGTGTAAGGCGGGTTAGGCTGTGGTTGATTCATGACGGGTGGTGGAGGGTAAGTATTTTGAACGTTTTGGATATTGACTTGAGGCAATTGATCTTGAAGTGGGTTTTGCACGTTATCTTGAAATCCTTGTAAGGGAATAGTGCCGAATATTATTGGGCGGACCTCTTCGGAATCATCGTGGCATCCGCCCACTTCAGTCGACACCTGAGACAAAAATATGAAACTTAATGCTTCCCACAGATTGGGCATCTTGCAACAATTTCAAATACGTTGTGACGTCATACCTTGAAATGATAATTAATATCAATATACCGGCAGGCGTTGACATTGTATATGTCCATAGTAGGTACTTCCATCTCTATGGTCCAGTTCCGCGTGGTGCGGCCGGGTATGGGTCCCTTCTTTATTTCTGCCACCGTGTCGTGATCGTTACGAGTCCCCGGTTCGTATGATGCGATGTATTGCACGTCCTGTATATATTTCAATTGGTTATGAGGCTTCAGGTGGTTAAACATAGTATTAGTGTTGTAATGATTGATGATAGATTATTTTTAGTAATAGTTTGTGTGATTTAATAATTTGTACCAACCTTTTTAATAGCGAACTTAATCTCATCAATTTCGACGTTGCTCTCGTTCTTGCAGGATACTTCCATGGGTATGATCTGCCCGGGACAGTACCCACTGACTGGCATCCTCACCATCACCTCCGAGTGGCCAGCACTTACACACCAACAACAATATGAGCTCGACAGGTCAAACTCCATCGGTTCCTACGAAACAGACAAAAATAAAGGTTAATACTAAAGTACAAGGTATATTTTTTTATGCCTTATTAAATAAAATTTGCTAATTAATTTTGGGTAAACAATTTGAATTTAATATAGATCTAGTTTAATTGTACGAAATAGTTACGTTTTAAAAGAAAAGACATTTTATTATAAAAAAATCAATCTAAAACAAAAGCCAAGCAATTCAAAACTCTCTTACCCTACAATAAGGATTCTGGTTCAAGTCCAACGGGGCGTGGACTTTGATGGGCACCATCTTGTCCTTGTTAAAAGAGAACATTCCTTTGGTGACCATGACCACCTTGATTCTGTATCTGATGTGTCCATAGGAACCTTCGAATGATGAGGGGCAGTTGATCGGGATGGGACAGTCGAACCTGAACTCATGGCTACCTGGCTGAAGGTGGTGTTCACCTGGACAAAGGAACATTACATTCTTACCCTTTCCTGGACGAATTAGTAAATAAGAGCCCTTCTATTAGTCCAAAGCATGAACTCATATCAAGGATGTCGCTAGTTTAAATTAATAAGGATACCTAGGAAATGTCCTCGTTATGTTTTAAAAATCCTGTACATTATTATATCATCATCATCATCATCATTAACAGCCTATAAATGCCCACTGCTGAGCAATGCCTCTTCTCACACGGAGAAGGTTTGAGGATTAATCGCCACGCTTGCTCAATGCAGGTTGGCGATTTTAAACTTAAAATTAGAAATTATAAGCCCAGGTTTCCTCACGATGTTTTCCTTCACCGTTGGTCAGTGGTGTCTAAATAATCTTAGAAAGTACATATAACTTGGAAAAAGTCACGTTGGTAAGTACCAACGTGACGGCAACGGCAAGTGCCGTTGGTAGGTTTCGAATCCGCACTCTCATGAATGAGAAGTAGGCGTCTTAAATCTGCGGGCCACCATGACTACGACTACACGATTATACATTAATAATAAGAAATAATCAGTGAACGGCAAAAGAGTTGAATGAAATGTAGGTAGTACTTGCGATACAGTCATCAGTAGAATACCCTGGAGATGACCAACGCAACTAGTTTCCGTTTACCTAATATATATTAATGAGCTCATTGAGCTCCATATAATACGGGCGAGCCTATCGGTCTGTTAAAGAGTTTGACAATGTCGCTCTCCTTGCCTATTCGTGAATTTAATGATCTATTATTACCTTCTGCCGTCAGATCGACGGACGTCATTTTGTTTAATTTTTATCTTCGCAAGACCATCATTGAAATTCAATGAGAATAAAAAATTGGTTATTTAATATATTGTTCTGGTCATTTCTGTATTCCGATTCCAGAAAAGTTTACCTTGCTAATTGTTACTACTAGATATACATTAGTATAGTAGATCGTGCAGGTGCATGTATGAACTTGTAGGTATGGAAACAATATTTTCCCATTAACTTATAATGATAATATAATGAGTTACATGTTTATAATAATGCAATATATCAGTATCAGGTTTTCCTGCAGTATTTCCTCAGGACCTTTAAGAGTTATAAAGAAGACATAGATTATAGAGGCAAGTTACAACTAGGCTAAAATATAATAACAAAACTATTGGGCTGTTGATAAAATAAATACAAGTCCCGGGGGGATACCTTGGGGCGAAAAACTGAACCTAGCTAACAAGCTTCAAAAGAATTAGATTATGACTTATTTCTGGGGCTTTTAGATAATTTATTTAGGTATCTATTAGATAGGTCAACGGATAACTTAGATGACGACAGGCCATAAAATACGATTAATAAATAATTACATAGTAATATGTGGTAAGCTGATTAGGGTCGCAGGGAGACGCTGGATACTGGTTGCAAGCGACCTGTATCCAGCATTGGACGTTCTGTGGCTGCTATGATGATGTGGTAAGCTTGGGTTGGTAAAAATGACAATAAAATAGGCAGAAGTTATTATATTTTCATATTTTAGACTATGTATACGTTCATATTCTTTTTCTTACTCACCATCTTCACTGCCAATCAAGTATCGTTTACTTCTGAAGTATTCTTCATGTGAGTCGTGGTTCACAGTGTAGTGTTGAGTGCGATTATTTACTCTGCGTGTGTGTGAAGTAGACCAGTGCACTTTGCAGAAACCTTTCATATCCACATAGATCCCTGCAAATAAGATAAACTAATTAATAAATAAGTGAATAACATGGCAGACAATGTTTTTATATATCTTTAAATTAAGTTATTTAATAAACAAACATTTTTATTCTTTTCATAAAATAATATATTAATTAAAGAGATAAATTTACTATATTACTATGATATTTTTATTTATAGGTAATGCTAGCACCTCCCTACTTCGCAAAGGTGCAATTAGTTATATTTTTTTAATACATTTTCAATCTTATTCCTTTCCAACTAAAGTTTAAAATGTATTAAAGAATTTTGATGTATGTTGTTTTTAAAAATATTGGGTGATATCTATGATAAATATAAGATAAAGTTCAGTGCAATTTAAACTCTTATATAATATCAGATAATTTAGTCAAAAGGTAGATAAGTAGGTAGGTAGAAAAGTAAACAATATTTCTGTTGACTGATAAAGAAGTTGGCGATTTTTTGTTGATGTTAATTTACAATAAAAAAGTTCAGAATACTTATATATATTTATTATTAAAATGACAAGGAGATAATTCCAATAAAATATTTACATATGTTATGTGTACAGTGCTAGCAGATCAACCTACACTAGTCTGTCGAATTCATTAATTGCATTTTCGACTTTATGTCAATACAATAAAGTTACAGCTGTAATTTGACAGAAAATTACAGGTTGAGCTGCTAGCCGCCATACATTCTTAATATACACAGTATATACATCATTACTGGAATTCAAGGCTTTTGTATAAATATTATTATGCATGCAATGGCTATCCAATTACTATTTTATTTTAAGATAAACCTGATGGTGATAAGAACACAATTGCTATACCATGTTTCATATTTTTGTATATGTCAAGTTAAATATATATAACACTTTAATTACTTCTAAATTATAAATCTGAAATCTGTTTTCTTTTCTTGTGTTAGTATTAACAAGCCAGCAGCTTAACCCGCGGTTACGTAGGTCAAAATCAGTCTATGTGTTATTCCAGTCAATCTACCTGTGTTCCAAATTTCATCCTGAATCCTTCAGGGTTTTTACATAAAGGAGAATTAAAAAAAAATTCCAATTTTTCACATTTATAATATTAGTAGGATAATAGAATTATAATTAGGATTATTATCTTAGACATTGTCATAATAATCTATAGAAGCTTGAAATAAATTACGCTTATAACATGTGTATAAATAGTTACTTCTGCAGTCATATAATTAGTAACATTGGCAACTGCAACTAAATCTACGAAAAGCCTTGAAGACAAAAACTATATTTGTTACAAAATCACATGTTTACAAAATTATTTAACACATATATTGTGTTAATCTGTTATAATGCTGAATTAGCAGACTGGTTCCATGTTATTTCATTAACTCGTCGAGTACCGTATTTAAAGACACAATTAAAGAACAATAGGTTGCGGTCACCGGTGACCGCTTGGTGTTTGACAGTTTAAAATACTACAGCCAAACCAATAACACACAGACAGACATGAATATTACAAAATATTTATTATATAGAAAAATAACACTATACATGGGTTTTAGTATACCTAAATAGTATCTCGTGTCACATGGAATCTATTAATCTTCAACTCAAGGTCAAGGCCAAAGATCAAAACAAAGGCAAAAAACTAACTATACAAAGAATCTGCCATTGCCATTATCATACAATGTGGTATGATTAGGTATAAAATAAAATAGTTTACTATCTTTATTTATTTAAAATATTATATTAATTTTTAAAATGAAATAAGTTTTTAAAAAAGTTATTTCATTTTTTTCTGGAAGTAATCTTAACACATTAGTTTAATAAATACTATTTTCAGATTTCTGTTATTTTCATATTTTATCTAAATATTATGAAATAAAAATATTAAAATATTCTTCTTTACTCACCTAGGTACTTTTTTGTTTTTTTTTTTTAGGTACAAAATGCCAGTCTTCTCTATTTAAAATAAAAAAAAACTTTGTAGAATACTTGCACAATAAACATCACATAGTCATGTAGTACAATAAAATTACATTTTAAAGAAAAGTTTCAAACAGCCTCCTACATAGTTTAAAACTTTTGAGTTTATTCTTCTATGAAAGTCCAAATTAACTCGTCGAGTACCGGTTTTATAGACACAATTAAAGAACAATAGGTCGCGGTCACCGGTGACCGCTTGGTGTTTGACAGATTAATCCTTGAGAATTTGCATAACACATTTTGGTACTTGTGTACTCAATGATATTAAATTTGTATTATTTTTAATTTTTATACCGTGGCATATTATAGCAAATACCGAAAACCATGTTTGTCACTTCCTCCATTAAGATCAAATCAAGAATATTGTAATGAGATAACATTTATAACCTACACACAAATACCAATCCGGCAATAAAACTCTTGTTAATTCAAATGACGCTTTTTTTGGGCAGTGCTATCTATAGTAGACACGAACTTACCATGAATAGTTTTAACTTTATCCTGGGAGAAGACCATTCGCCCAAAAACAGTTTGGCCAGCATAATATGCACCATTTTCACTGTCTAAAATTATCTGTCCCTCATCGAATCCCATCTCAAAATTATGTTTGTTTGAATTATTTGAGAAAAATTACAACATTACCCCACCCTTGATCAAATCAAACTGACATTTATTTCCTGATTGCGATTGCGAAAACTGAACTGTCAGTGTCAATACTGTCAATGTCACTGATAAGAATTGAATGAAATAAATGCTTCTGAGTGTTAAAATGACTCTTTCAATTTTTATATGGAAATAAAACTTGATAAATAATATATAACATTCTATTTGTTATTAAAAATAAGTTATTATAATTTGTTACAAAATATTTATTTTCTTATAAAATAAAGTGACGAAAATAAAACGAAAAACGGGTTCGTGAAACAAACCATTTTGTTTGCAAGCTACAAGCATGTTACGTTTAACCTTCATTCATTCAACAATCAGTTAGTTGTCAAATAGACGGCAAGGTGGTTGTTTGTCTGAAATATCTCCGAAGCGCGGTCCGCGTGCTTTTATTTCCATCGCTTTTAAATAATAATTCTAACTGAAAACCACATTGTTGTGATATTTTATAAATTCTTCATTATTTCATCAATACGAACAGTAACTTTTTTGCTAACGAATACTAAACTGTACCATAAGTGTTTATAAATATCGGCCGGTATCAAAATTAAAATGATGTGTTAAATATAACTGTAAATCGAATTTATATTGTCGATAAAGATGGGTACGCCACAGAAGGACATAGAGTTGAGTCCAGTGAAGTCTGAGGGTAATATTAGCACGTTGCCGGAGAAACTAAATTTGCCGGTAAACGATGAGGAGGATGTTATTATTGGGCGGTTTAGGAAGATAAGCTCAGCGAAGTCTATGGCGGCAACGAACGGGAACATACAGTATCCATCGGCTGCCGATGTGCCTATGAGGAGCGAGGATGTGGAGGCCGGACTACAGTTCAAAACTAGGGAACCGGGAGAAAAAGATCGGTTGTTACCGGAGTCGGCTACCAACGGCTCAGTAACGGTGCAGTCCCGCTCTCCTGTCACTAAGAGCAGCTTCCGTGATATTGAAAAGCCGTCCAGGTTCAAGGATCAGCCATCTGCCACTAGATTCCAGGTAAGCTATGTTTGAATTTACTTAACTCATAAAAATGAACTGCAAGAAAATATAGTAGTTAATTGAATGCCTTGAAATACGAATTTTATGGGTTTATTCCACCAGATCCTATGGTCATTTTACCTCAGTAGACCTGATCATGTTTGAGTGATAATTTTTTAATTTGTTGGAGTATTTGAATAAATTTGTTGATTTAGAAAATGGAACTAGTGACTTAATAATTTTAAAACAATAATATAATAATTATCATAGTTTTCAAACAAATACATACTGTTATCAGTAGCATGCATGTGGCCATGCATGCTGTATACCTACAACATTCTAAACAGGACAGTAATAAATTAAGAATTAATTTAATTGCAATGAAAACAGCTAAACCAACATATTTACACATATAACGATACACATACTCACGGAAAATTTATAAATAAATTGTAAGTTGCTTGTGAAATTGAAAACATTGTTTTTATCATACATTTAATTGCACATTCCACTTGAAATAAGTGCCATTCATGTCACTATAAATAATGTATTAGTATAATTATGATACATCTACAGATACCTTATATTAATTCAGTGTGTTTGTCCTTTATATGGACATCACATTCACTAAAAATAAACCATGAATGACCCATTCATGGGTTTGTAGATAGATAAAACAGATTCTGACCAAACAAAGTGCTCACGGTATTTCGAAACAATGTGCAGATGATAAAATCCTCTCATTGTGAAATTCAAATGTAAATCATGAGGGTTTGATATAAAATGGGAACTTTTTGTTTGGCTCCATGTGTAGACCTACTTGCACATGGATAGGAAATACATATACACAACTACTAAACTGATAGTACCTACCTAGTACTGTAGTAGGTAGTTCCCTACAGTAGAAGTATTCATTATTCATACAGAGGATGATTCTTAGATAGTTAACTAGTAATGTATGGTCAGTTTTACGACTATAAAATTAATGTCATTAAAATAACTAATCTTACATACCAAAGTTAATGATTACAAAACTAGCCTAAAGTTGAGTTCCTCTGGTAGGCAACAAGGCTATCAATTCCTCTTCAAGAGAAGAAAATATTGACATGGCAACTGTTACTATAATAAAATGTACACCCTGTACAAAGAAAATATCTAGAGTACTGTTATAAAAATTTAACATGCATTGTGCACATTCGCATTCGCCATGCGTTCGATGCGTCATGCGTGAAACACGGGACACGTGCGCATTTTCTTACTACACTCGCAGTTTTATTCATAAAACAGAATATTGAGAATAAAAAATCTAACTGAGGAGACAAAAGTTATTGTTCAACTCAGATTAATACGGCCAGAGACGAGAGATGACATAAAAAAAAAACAAGTAAAAAAAGAATCTCAAGCTACGCTAACATTTACGTCAGGATAAATGTGAAATAGTTAATAACAACATTGATTAGTGTTTCCATTCCGAGTCCCGCAATTATTTGGAGTAAACTGAATGAGTTACGAGCATAAACCAACTTCTTAATTGCGAGTTTATCACGTCACAAATTGATGTTGTTTTGATGCGATTTTGACTTCAAACATGAGTAGCAGCCAATTTACGTTTCTCCGTAGAGCTTCTGTTGATCACATTCAGCTTTAATAGTGTTTATAGACACATCTAAATGTACTCCTAGGTAAAAGAAGAAAGATATGCAATATATCCTACTATATTAGGTATACTTAATATTATAAATGCGAAAGTTTGTGAGGATGTACTTGTGTGTGTTTGTTACTCTTTCACGTCAAAACGGCTGAACTGATTGCGATGAAATTTGGACCACGGGTAAATTATGGTCTGGAATAACACATAGGCCAATTTAACCCACGAGAACGCGGGCGAAGCCGCTGGCAGAAGCTAGTAAAACAATGTATTAAATTTAGTATGTGACAGCCATGTAATGAGGATGTAATGTCTCAAGTTTGCACTAAAGTAACTAAAAGTACTTCACATATGTAGATAGGTTAAACCTACTTAAGTGTTGTTTATCTACTGGAAAACTCATCGGTGTAAAACTTGATAAACTAAAGTAGGTAATGGACAATTTGTAACATAAGTAATGTGTCATGTGCTTTTCTTAAGTGCCTTAACACGAATTTCACGTTATATTGTGTAGGAAGGCAGGTCTCCGTGTTTCAAAGAAGTGGCGATTCATTGCGGATGTCTTTTCATTCAATGAGCTTAAGCGTTCTTTACAAGCCAATCTTAGAGAGTAAAAATAAATAAGATTTATGAATAATTAAGTATTTATGTTTAACGGTTTACGCACGTAACTATTTCACGAGGTAACTCGAGTCAATTCAAGTCATGCTAGGAGCCATTGCTATCGGGCTATCCTGTCCTATCTGTTTTTTTTTTCAAAGTCAAAGTCAAAATAATTTACCTATTTCAATTAAACCAGAAAGACACTTTTGAAAGACAACAAAAAATTAAAAGTTAAGCTATTTGCTCATTCCAAGGCTTAAATTCCTATGGAGAAGAACGAGCAAGAACCTCCATAGGTTACTCTTTTTCAACCAGGTTCACAATACAATTCTCTAGTTAGGTAAGTACATAGTTTTGTTGTTTGGATTGTGTGAGAGAAATGTAACACTAAAATACAGTCAAAGAGGTCGAAAAAAATAATCTTAAAGGACAGTAAAAAATTCAACCTGGAGCTGACCAGTCCCAGTTGACGGCGCCCGTCCACGAACATGACACGTACACCAGCACCGTCCAACTCAATCACATTGTAGGGAATCGAGCGATCCACGGCACGTGCCAAGTAGACCTTTGAATGAGTATGACAATTTTCTTTGGGAAGTAAGGCAAGGCTGTTTTTATTTTCCATCTGTCTAGATTTTACCAGTTTTTTAATAGTCTCATAATTGTTTAGAAGTCTAAAAGCCATTAACACTCTCCAAACCAAAAATATATCCGTGATCTATAGGTACCTTGGAATTCGCACTGGCGACTTGCTACTTGCGACCATTTGAGACAGTTCGATACTTTAGTCCCGGTAATAATATCATGAGCACATTCACAAAGAAATCAACTATTACCTAAGGTAATTGATTTACAAGTGTGCATATCTAGACCTTGAAATCTACTAGAATGTTGGTCCAGTAAAGTTGAAATCAATAAGATCCGGTCCGAGCTAGTTGTGGGTACCTACCTACCTACTTACCTATCTACTTCGGTACCTATTTCCATCTAAGTGTTGTTCAAACCTGGAACGGTATAGTTCAAATATTTAAAGACGCGAGACAGACGTTTCAAAATTTCCAAGTATCGGTGAATTCGTAAATATAGAGGTTATTAATGGGTGTTATCTTTGTAATAACTACATCTATCGGATCAAAACTGTTAGTTAAAAAAGTATAGACCTTTTTAACATTGGTCGATTCCTATTTTAAAAATCCAGAAAACCACTCTGTTTATTTTGATTTAACAATAGACGCGAAAAGCTGCTATTTATCTTACTAAAAACGTGACTTATTTCAGTTGCAAATATCAGGTGTTTATTGATTCTAGTACAATTTTCATCACGTTTCCGTGCACACGACTTGTGCTATTCCCGAAAATTAGTAACCCACGGCGTGTTCTGGTGGAAATAAGTGAATAAAGGTTGCCGACAACTACCGGTAGAGTTATTACATAACTACTAAAATTCCCTGTACATCCCGCTATTTAATGTCCTACTGAACGTCGCTGACATGCTCGGTCGTGAAGCAGTCGGTCTAGGTCATAGGCGCCTACTTGTACGCTACCAATAAATCATAATAGCGGCAAATTGGATAAGTGCACGGGCGGCGGCAAGCTTCCTATAGCCTCGTCCGTGCTCGTGTCTTATGGGCCCCGGTAAGAATGGACGCATTAGCCAAAGATTGCTCTACAGGCAATACGGAAAGATGGATGATTCAGTATT